TTTAAAAAATTTAAATCTACTAAACAATATTTCAAAAATCTTGGTACCCTCTGAAATTTCCAGACATTTTTTTTAAGAAAAAAAATGGGTGGGTGGGCGGGGCTAGTACTTGCCAAAATAAGATTAATTTTGGCAAATAACCCACTCTCTGAGAAAATAAAGGGCGGAATTAGTCTTATTCTGGCAAGTTCTAGCCCCGCCTACCCGCCATTTATTTTATCAGAGGGTAATTTCACAAAATCAGTCTTATCCTAGCAAGTCCTAGCCCCGCCCACCCACCCTTTATTTTCTTAGTGAGTACTTCCCTTGCCAAAGTCAGTCTTATCTTGGCAAGTACTTTTTTCTTCGAAAATGCCTCCTATTTTTCAAGAATTACTAAAATGATACAAGGTAACTTTTGAAATATTTTAAAATTTGAATTCCAAACAGAATATTTCCATAATTTTGGTCTGGAAACATAACACATTCATTCAGAAATTACCAATAGAGATTCTTTTGTTGATTTTGATGTCCAGAATTATTTTTGGGTTTCACCTGTTCTAGGATTCTTACCATATTTCCAGAATCTCAAAAATGAATGAGATAAGGTAAATTTTGACACATTTAAAACATTTGAACTTGACCAGAATATTTCGAAAATCTTCTGGAACTATAGCACATTTGGAAATTACCAAAAACATTCTTTTATTGAACCCAATTTCCAGATTTTTTTGGCTTCATTTCTTCCAAAATTCCTACCATTTTTCAAAAATCACCAGAATGATATACAGCAATTTTTGGGTTATTTTAAAACTTAAATTTGATAGAGAATGTTTCTAAAATCTTCGGAAATTATTAAAAGCGATTCTTCTCTTGATTTTGATTTCCAGAACTTTTTGGCGTTTCATTTTTTCGGAAATTCCTACCACAAGTTTTGGCATATTTAAAAAATTTGAAACAAAATATTTCGAAAATCTTAGTCTGGTGCCATGTCAAACTGTCAAAATTTTTTTTCGGTTCCATTTCTTCGAAAATGGCTTTTATTTTGCCAGAATCACCAAAATGATATGACAACTTTTGTAATATTTTAAAAATTTAATTTCAAACAGAATATTTAAAAAATCTTGATCTGGGAACTTAGCAAATTCAGAAATTACCAATAGTGATTCTTTTTTTGATTTCGTTTTGGGTTTCATTTCTTCGAAAAGGCAAATTTTGGAATAATTTAAAAATTTGAATTGAAAATTACTAAAATATATTTTTTTATTAATTTCAAATTCGAGAATTTTTTTGGCTTCATTTTCTCTAAAATTCTTACCGTTTTTCGAAAATCACCAAAATGATAGGGGGCCATTTTTGGGATATTTTAAAATTTTAATTTGATAGAGAATGTTTCCAAAATCTTGGAATCTTCGAAAACTACAATGAGACACTACTTTGTGGATTTTGATTTCCAGATTGGTTTTTGGGTTTTATTTTTTCAAAAACTCCTACCATTTTTGCAGGATCTGAAAAATTTTTAAATTTTAAACATACCATACTTTAACACACAGTTTTAAATAACGAGAAAATTTTTCTTGATAATTTAGCTTCTCAGGGACACCAATTAATCTTTTCTTAAATTACGCCTGAACGTGCTCGCTGCGCTCGCATTCTTGGTATTCTTTTTTGAAATAATGCAATTGACCTGATCGTTCCTAACCTGACCCACCACGACCCGACAAGCCTAAGATCACCGCTCTGAATGCGAGTGAAGCACTGTATAAACTCTTTAGACCGATTTATTTTAATAAAGACCCGACATAAATCAAGATTTCGTCAGATTTCTTAGAGGATATGTCATCTGCCAAAATCGGTCTTACCTTGGCAAGTAGCCGCCCCGCCCACCCACCCTTCATTTTCTTAAAGAGAAGGTCATTTAATAAAATCAATTTAATCTTAATAAGCACTACTTCCCCTTTATTTTCTTAGAGGCTATGTCTTTGGCAAAATCAGTCACATCTTAGCAAGTACTACTGAAACTCGAATTGATTTAAAGCCAGAATTAGCTTCAATGTTGGTACGATTTCTTTGTAAACTGAATAACTTACGCACCTGTCATTTTTGAGTGTTATTTTAATAGAATTTGCCAAGATGAGACGGAAGAAAAATCTGTGTTTCCGAAGTCATATAATAATAATTGTTTGGACTAGCATTAATAAACTGTAGAAAATCTAAATATTTATACTGAATAATTTCTTTAGATAACGTTATCGTCATCGTCGTTCCGAAGAGGATGAATGTAATAGATTTTATACAACGCAATCGTCAAATCTCCATTGACAAGTTTATTTTTTGAGTGTGTTACGTGAAAAGTATTTATAAATTATACTCAATGAAAGAGCAACTGTCATTTCTCGGTCCGCCCACACACGCTACCACTCACTTCCGACCAAATTCCCCAAACCTCGACCACGTGTTCAATAATAGACATTGGCTTTGTTTACAAAAATACAAAGCGGGCGCCAACCGACCAAAACAAATTAAAACTCGCACAGCCAACCTGGACCTGGAACTTTCATTAGAATGCATTCCCTCACCTGGGATTACAGCGAAGAAAATCCCAGCAGCAAATAGCCGGAAAATTCGCTCCCCCAATCTTCTCCATCCAACGCAAACTTGACAATATTTTTTTTCGAACAGATTGTTATGATTATATTGTGCCAGTTATCTGGCAATATTGACAAATTCTCTCGCTAATTTATATAACGTCTGTAATATTGTTTGCAGTCCCATTGTTTGAACGAAAACAATAAACGTTGTTTGAAATGGCGGAGCTACCTACGGAAAAGCGTTCGCGCCTATTGTTGGATCAGAGAAGCTTTTTTTGCCAGAAAGTTGAGATAATTGCGGATTTTGTAATTTTTACTTCCCGAGCGTAAGCAAAGGAAGTATTGTAATCGAGTCCGTCGGCCGAATCTCTACTTTTACGTTTTTTCGATCTTTCATGACCCCTAGAAGATGAAGAAATAGGTCTCCCATTTCCGTCTGTCTGTCCGTCCGTCTGTCCGTCTGTCCGTCTGTTGTCCCGGATTTTTATTAGACAGATAATCTCCGAAAGTACTCGACCGATTGTTGTGAAATTTTGTACTTATATTAAGAATATCATGTAGATGGTAAAACGCTAACCAAAAATTTGTCTAATCATCCCCACCACTAATGCGACGACGTCACTTCAAAATTGTACATAGTAAATGGGTTTTCAATTGTATAAAATAACATAGTCCTACACATGTAGTTTACAACTCTGAATCGACTTTTCACCCGAAACGTCCAGATTTTTGGAAAAAAAATCAAAATTATAAAACAACATTTTGAACTTTAATTTTTAATCTGCTAACCAGAATGCTTTGAAACGTTGCAGATGTTTTAAGGCTATAAAGAGCATCATAAATCTTTAGTCAAAAAATATTTGCTTATCCCCTCCAAAAACTTGATGACGTCAGCTCAAAAGTTTGTGGAATAAATCATATCTAAAATGTACAAAATATGATGAGTCTGTGCTTGTGATCTATCACTCCATTCATATTTTTTGGATTTGCATATACAAGGTGACTCAAAAAAATTAATGAATGCGTAAATATATTTTATTGATTTAATCAGGAACTACAAAACCGAATGCTCTGAAATCTTGCAGATGTTTTAAGGTTATAAAGAGCATAATAAATGTTTAGTCAGAATATATTTGCTTATCCCCTCCAAAAACTTGATGACGTCAGCTCGAAAATTTGCCGAATAAATCATATCTAAAATGTACAAAATATGATCAGTCTGTACTTGTGATCTATCACTCCATTCATATTTTTTGGATTTGCATATACAGGGTGATTCAAGAAAATAAATGAAAACGTAAATTTATTTTACTGATTTACTCAGGAACTACGAAACCGAATGCTTCGAAATCTTGAAGATATTTTAAAATTATCATAAGCATGGTAAATTTTTGATCAAAATGTATTTGGTCGTCCCCCCTAAAAAATTTATGACGTCACCACAAAATTTTGCTGAATAAATCCTATCTAAAATGTACAAAATATGGTGAGTCTCTTCTTGTGATTTATCATTCCATTCAAATTTTTTCGATTTGCATATACAGGGTGACTCAAAAAAAATTAATGAATGCGTAAATTTATTTTATTGATTTAATCAGGAACTACAAAACCGAATGCTTTGAAATCTTGCAGATGTTTTAAGGTTATAAAGAGCATAATAAATTTTTAGTCAAAATATATTTGGTTATCTTCTACAAAAAACTGATGACGTCAGCTCAAAAGTTTGCCGAATAAATCGTATCTAAAATGTACAAAATATGATGAGTCTGTACTTGTGATTTATCATTCCATTCATATTTTTGGATTTGCATATGCAGGGTGACTCAAAAAAATTAATGAAGGCGTGAATTTATTTTATCGATTTAATCAGGAATTACAAAACCGAATGCTTTGAAATCTTGGGAATATTTTAAAGTTATTATAAGCATGGTAAACTTTTGTTCAAAATGTATTTGTTCATCCCTCCTAAAAAAATTGATGACGTCACCCTTAAATTTTGCTGAATAAATCCTATCTAAAATGCAAAAAATATGATGAGTTTGTACTTGTGATTTATCATTCCATTCATATTTTTAAGATTTTCTTAAGAGGTGGTTCAAAAAAATTAATGAAGTCAATTTATTTTATTGATTAAATTAAAGGCAACACATATTATTAGTGTTACACCCCAACCAACCCAATTTGGTAGACACAAAATTTGTTAAAGGAAAAACTCGGTTGTAACATAAGGGTAGCACGCTTATTTACATCGACTTTAACATTACAGACCTGCATTTGTTTTATGCGGTCACTTGGTTCCGCGAATGTGAAATAGACATGTTTATAATCAACCAATTGTGAATTTCACCGTCAAGAATTAAAATAAAACCCAATGTTTTATATAATAAGCGGAAGTCGAAGCAATAAAACCGACGGTCGTTTTGTTTACAGTTTCTCTGTTTGGCTCTCACGTATGCTGTTACGCCTGTCATCTTAAATTAAGAATGTTTATACATACACGATTTTCAGTTGCCTCTGATACGTATACGTGAGTAAATTGTTTCGTTATTTTATTGATTATTACAAATCAATATTCAAAACGACCCAATTCATTTTCCCGAAAATTTGAGAATATAATAATTTTATTTTTAGTATTACACTACATCTATCCCAACTGATATACGTGTCCTTGCAAAAATGTTGATGACGTCATCGCAATTTTTTTTTAAATTCCCACTACAAAAATGTAATGAGAAAAAAACACAATAGCCATGCAGTCGTCAAGTTTCCGACAGCGAGGGAAGTACTGTCTAAACTCTTTAGACCAATTTTTTAATAATCAGAGTCGCTTTTCCAGTTCCAGGTCGCCGCTCCTTGATGGCTCGCCGCTGAACCATGCCGTCTCCCCCGTCGGACGACATCTTCGAATGCTTCGAGAACTCCACCCTGGCCACGACATGCAACGTCAGCGCGCCGCTGCTCCTCGCGTGCACCGCCGACGCCGCCGACTTCGTCGACTTCTTCTGCGAGGCGCCCGACCTCAACGGCACCTTCTGCACCGCCTGCGACCTCAACGCCAGCCTGAGCGAGGCCGCCCTGACCAACGCCAGCCTGGGCGTCGACTTCGTCCTCCGGGTGGCCTCCAACTACTCCCAGTGCAGTGCAGTGAATCGCAGTGGCGGCGTGTTCTGGACGTGCGAGGGGGCGGCGCCCGGGGGGCAGACGTGGGGCGCTAATTACGACTGGAGTTTCTTGTTTGTGGTGGTGTTCATTCTGGCGGGCGGTCTGGGCAACATTCTGGTGTGTTTGGCGGTTATTCTGGACAGGCGGCTGCAGAACGTCACGAACTACTTCCTGCTGTCGCTGGCCATTGCGGATCTGTTGGTCAGTTTGTTCGTGATGCCGCTGGGGGCCATTCCTGGGTTTCTCGGTGAGTGCGGGGGATTTTGGAAAAAATGGCAAGAGGAGTGATCTCGGCTCATTCGGATGCAGGAAGCGCCGCATAAAAACTGATTAACTCGCGTCTCGTCAGCTAGACAACCTAATTTTAGAGCTCGCATCTCTTCCTATATTTAGTACGAGTGATTACCTCGTTAAAAAAATCTCATCCTTTTACGAACGCGGCACCACTTCCCAAATTTGTTTATCTGTGTTTCCATCTTGTAGTTTCCTTGGACGGCGTTTTACGAGCCGAAATCCGTCGGATTTCTCTTTTAACAGTCGCAATTCGGACAAATTTAGCCCAAACGACCCCACTTATCAAAATCCGTTGACGTACTTCGGCGAGTAAATCGTGGATTTTATTCGATACAATTGACAAGTTTTTTCGATAAGATAGTTCTGGCAAGAGGGAAAAATTGTGGGTCGTTATTCACGATTTGCGCGTTGAAATGTTAATTAATTATTGATTTCTAATAATATTGTGATTTGATTTTGACGGTGCCAACGAATGGGTAAATATGTATCATAAACGGATATGTGAAGGGTAATGTAGGTGAATGTACGTGTCAGATAGTCATAGAGTTGTTTACGGGCGGTAATAAAATAAATACTCGACGGACAAAAGCGCACGTTCGGAGCTATTACTATCCCACGGAAACTAGACTGAAAAAAATCTCATTTTTCCGTTTTCACCAGTAACGTTATACCTAGAGCTTCTCTAAGGGAAACAATAAACGACGTGTTTTTTCTTTATGAACGGTCGTTCTTTCTTTTATTCTACATATATTATTCCCGTTTTTTCTTGTAGGAAATTAATGGGCTCATTTTACGTATCGCATGTGTGAAATTCGGTCTTCTATTTTCCGAGCGGTAGCTGAAGGGAAACCTGTACAAGGTTATTATTACGAATGTCTAATTTCGTTTCTTGGTGCTTCACACTTCACAGAAGGTGTTTCCCATTTCCGTTTGTCGGTTGCTGTAAAATTATTACGTCGATAATTTCCGAAACTAAACGAATTATGTACTCCGGATTTTAGAAGTAACAACAATTTTTAGTTATCTCGTTCGAAGAATTTTTGCTTTTCGTCTGAAAGTTCTACATACATTTTCATCCTCTAATTGTTTATGTGCTTTCGTGTCACTTGTTTTAGTTAATTAATTTTAATTTTGCTTGACAGCGCACATTACTTTTTGTGATTAATGAAGTTGGTGCCCACTTTGTTGGTGAGATGCGAAATATTACGAGTCTGTACTTGTGCTTTCCCAAAGCATTAATTTTTTTAGAGTCGTAAATTATTTTTAATAACACCTGTACATGCTCGCTGCACTCGTATTTCGAATGTTCTTTTTTTAAAAAAAATAGGGAGTGAGATACATTATAGTGGCTACAAACAACATTTAAACACATAAATTTTGGTATATTTCAAAAATTTGAATCTGAAAATTAGTAAAAAATATTCTTCTACTGATTTCGACTTTCAGATTTTTTGGCATTATTTCTTAGAAAATTCCTATCATTTTTGAGGAATCTACAAAATGAATGAAATTGGGCTATTTCAAAAATTTGAATTTGAACAGAATATTTCGAAAATCTTGGACAATGGCACCTATCAAAATTACTAAAAAATATTGTTTCATTGGTTTCAATTTCTAGATTTTTTTCCATTTCTGGAAGATCGTCAAAATGGCAGAAAGTAATTTTTGGGAGATTTTAAAATTTGAATTTGATAGAAAATGCTTCAAAAATCTAGGTCTGGGATCACAGCACCTCCGAAAATTTAGGGAAGGAGGGTTATTTCTTCGAAAATTCCTAAGACCTCTGAAGAATCTCAAAAATTGACACCTTCCAAAATGTCCAAAGACATTTTTTTTTAGAAAATTAAGGTCGGGGCTAGTACTTGCCAAGATAAGACTGATTTTGGCAAAAGGCCCACTTTCTAAGAAAATAAAGGGCGGGTGGGCGGGGCTAGAGCTTGCCAAGACAAGATTGATTTTGGCAGATGGCATACCCCCTATAAAAAAAGGGCGGGTGGGCGGGGCTGAAACAGAATATTTCAAAAATCGTGATACCTTTTGAAATTTCCAAAGACATTTCAACTACTAGCCCCGCCCACCCACCCTTTATTTTCTTAGTGGGTAATTTGACAAAATCAGTCATATCTTAGCAAGTACTAGCCCCACCCACCCACCCTTTATTTTCTTAGCGAGTACGTCCTCTGCCAAAATCAGTCTTATTTTGGCAAGTTCTAGACCCGCCCACCAGCCCTCTATTTCAAGAATCTCAAAAATGAATGAGACAAATTTAGACATATTTCATACATTTTTTTATTGGTTTCAACTTTCAGATTTTTTTTCGGCTTCATTTATTCGAAAATGCTTTATATTTGTCAAGAATTATCAAAATGATGTGAGGCAATTTTTGAAATATTTTAAAATTTGATTTTAAACAGAATATTTTGAAAATCTTGGTCCGGGGATTTAGCACATTCGGAAATGTCCAATAGAGATTTTTTTTGGTGATTTTAATTTCCAGAATTGTTTTTGGGTTAAGATAATTCTAAAATTCTTACCATTTTTCCAGAGTCTCAAAAAAGAATTTAAGGTAAATTTTGGTATGTTTCAAAAATTTGAATTTGAACAGAAGATTTCGAAAATCTTATTCTTGAACAATAGCACCACTGAAAATTACTGAAAGATATTCTTTTATTGGTTTCAAGTTCTAGATTTTTTTGGCTTCATTTTTTCGAAAATTGCCAAAATGAAATCATGTAATTTTTGGGATATTTTGAATTAGAAAAAGCATTTTTCGAAAATCTTGTCTGGTATCACAGCACCTCTGGAAATTACGTAGAGAGATGCTTTCCTTGACTTCGATTTCCAGAATTTTTTGGAAGGGTTTATTTCTTCGAAAATTCCTACGACCCTTGAAGAATCTCAAAAATGAATGAAACACGGCAAATTTTGACATATTCAAAAAATTTGAATCTGAAACAGAATATTTTAAAAATCCTGGTACCGTCTGAAATTTCCAGACATTTTTTTTAAGGAAAAAAAGGGTGGGTGGGCGGGGCTAGTACTTGCCAAAATAAGACTGACTTTGGCAAAGGATGTACTCACTAAGAAAATGAAGGGTGGGTGGGCGGGGCTAGAACTTACCAGAATGAGTCTTATTTTGGCAAGTTCTAGCCCAGCCTACCCGCCATTTATTTTCTCAGAGGGTAATTTGACAAAATCAGTCTTATCTTATCAAGTATTAGCCCCGCCCACCCACCCTTTATTTTCTTAGTGAGTACTTCCCTTGCCAAAATCAATTTCATCCTCGCAAATACTAGCCCCGCCCACCCGCCCTTTATTTTCCTAGAGAGTACGTCGCTTGCCAAGATCAGTCTTATCTTGGCAAATACTAACCCCATAAGGACGGGGCTAAGATATGAGTGATTTTTCCAAGTGACATACACTCTAAGAAAATAAAGGGCGACGAAAATCTTGACACCTTCCAAAATTAAGACAATTAAGGTCGGGGCTAGTACTTGACAAGATAAGACTGATTTTGGCAGATGTCATACCCTCTAAAAAAAACAAGGGCGGGTGGGTGGTTGGGGCTAGTACTGTCCAAGATAAGACTGATTTTGGCAAATAATTTACACTCTAAAACAATAAAGGGTGGGTGGGCGGGGCTAGAGCTTGCCAAAATCAACTTTATTTTGGCAAGTTCAAGCCCCGTCTACCCGCCATTTATTTTCTCAGAGGGTAGTCTGACAAAATCAGTCTTATCGTAGCAAGTAATAGCCCCACCCACCCACCCTTTATATTCTTAGCGAGTACGTCTTCTGCCAAAATCAGTCTTATCTTGGCAAGTTCTAGATCCGCCCACCCGCCCTTTATTTCAAGAATCTCAAATTTAGACATATTTCAAACTTTTTTTTATTGGTTTCGACTTTCAGAATTTTTTTCGGCTTCATTTTTTCGGAAATGTTTTCTATTTTTCAAGAATTATCAAAATGATATGAGGCAGTTTTTGAATTATTTTAAAATTTCATTTCGAACAGAACATTTTGAAAATCGTCGGAAATTACCAATAGAGATTTTTTTTGTTGATTTTAATTTCCAGAATTGTTTTCGGGTTTTATCTCTTCTAAAATTCTTACCATTTTTCCAGGTTCTCAAAAATGAATTTAAGGTAAATTTTGGCACATTTAAAAAATTTGAATTTGAACAAAGTATTTCGAAAATTTTATTCTTGAACCATAGCACCTTTGAAAATTAATAAAAAATATTCCTCTACTGATTACGACTTTCAGAATTTTGTTTGGCGTCATTTCTTAGAAAATTCCTGTCGTCTTTGAAGATTCTCCAAAATGAATTAAATAAGACAAATTTTGGTATATTTCAAGAATTTGAATTTGAACAGAATATTTAGAAAATCTTATTCTTGAACAATAGCACCTCTGAAAATTACTAAAAGACATTCTTTTATTGATTTCGACTTCTAGAATCTTCTTTGGCTTCATTTTTTCAAAAATTCTTACCATTTTTTTAAGATATCTTAAAATTGTTGAGCATGTTTAGAAAATCTTGGTCTACCGTCATAGCACCTCTGGAAATTACCAAAAGAGATTCTTTTGTTGATTTCGATTTTCAAAATTTGGGGGAGGGGTATTTCTTCGGAAATTGTGATGAACTTTGAAGAGTCTCAAAAATGATTGAAATAAAGCAAATTTTGACATCCTTAATAAATTTGAATCTGAAACAGAATATTTCAAAAATCCTGGTACCTTCTGAAATTTCCAAAGACATTTCAATTACTAGCCCCGCCCACCCACCCTTTATTTTCTTCCTCTGCCAAAATCAATTTTATACTCGCAAGTACTAGCTCCGCCCACCCGCTCTTCATTTTCCTAGAGAGTACGTCCTTTACCAAAATCAGTCTTATCTTGGCAAATAATAGCCCCACCCACCCACCCCTTGTTGTCTTAGCGAGTACGTCCT